TCTTGAGCTCTGTGAGACATCCATTGAGGGTTTACAGCTCATATGTGTGAAAGGCTAGTCTCTGGAGTAAGCAAAAATGAAAAGAATGCAAAAGATACAATATCGTATTTTATCTGGTTTGAACAGAACCATGGAATGGGTCAAATGAGGCTGCTCTTCATGGGTCATGAGCTACACAAATACTTTCTCTCCTGAGCCTCTTTATAGTATGATGAGACACCTGTGCAGCAACCTTTCATAAGCAGAAAGGAAAACAACACAAAAATATGCATATGCTAATCCTGGGGTAGTGTTTCCCTTGTGGTGGATAATTGAGGTTGACTAAGGAGAACTTCATGCCCTACCCACCTGCCTCAGAGCTGAGGCCTCCCATGGGGAATGAGCCAGACACCTTTAACCAACTGAAGCTGGTCATGCAACACTGGGCTCACTAAAACAGAGAGGATGTCCTTGCAAGAATCACCCTGATCATCAGGCCGATGGCAGAGTACTTCCCATCATTGCATGGTTCCCGAGAACACCAAGGGGAGAGAAAATCAGAGGAGGCCTGCTGGGAATCAGGCAGCACCAAGAACAGTGTGCAGACCACACTTGCTTTTTCTTTTTTTTTAAATAATTTATTTATTTGTATATTATGTACATTGGTATTTTGCCCAAATGTATGTCTGTGTAAGGGTTTTGGATCAGGAGTTACAGACAGTTGTAACTAGGAATTGGTGCGTCGAGGGCACATGACAGCAGTAACATTTCAGACCTATGCTATTCCAAAGTTGTTTGCAAATATAAGTGAAGCCGGAGACTTACCTGTGTTTCCTGATTCTTCAGGCTCAACCTCTACCTGCTTGAATCTTTCCACCTGCTACATATGGTTGTCCCAGGTGTCACCTGCCTGCTGTTCTTAGGGATTGGAATGATCTCATCTCTTTGCACATTTAGCAAAACCCACCATCTGTATTACCACTTAGAACACATCTGAGACCCAAGAAAGGGCATCAGCCATCTTGTGGTTTCTGCCCAACCTCAGCTCCCTCAGGTGCTTTCTGACCTCGTTTCCTGCTCCTCAGTTGCTTGCAACAGCATCTGAATAAGTTTCTATGAAAAAGCCACCTGGTCTCTGTGTAGTGACAGCAGGTGTGTTCTCGCTGATATAGGGTGTGATTGCCACAATGCTTAACAACTCAGGGAGAAAGTCACCCTGAGAGACCCAGGGTAGTGACACTTGTGTTGGGGGAAGAGAGAGAGTTGCAGAGAAAAGAAAAAAATGCCAAGTTAATGAAGAATCAGTGTTGCTGGGGAGGTGAAACAGGTATTGCTTTCTGTTTATGGTTTTAAATTTTTAATTAGTTTTTTTAAAAAAAAAACTATTCAGAGAAGTGAAGTTTGTAAGCTTTCTCCCTCCTACCAACTCGTAGCCCCTTAAGTGTTCTGGAATGGACCTTCAAGGCCAGCATAAGCTGGGAAGTCACATACCTGAATTATGGGCCAATAGATCGTTTGGAAGACAACCACACAACCCAGATAATCAGGGCAGCAAGAACCACTTCTGGGTGGCACCTCACTCACAAGGGGGTAAGAGAGGGCGTGTAATTTTGAGTAGAAAGTGTTGAGTCATTTCAACAACAATCACAGCTAATATTTATTGAGCATTCAAGGTGAGCCGGTCAATGCACTAAGAGTTAATGGGTGTGAATCATCTCATTTGTATCTCACAACAACCCTCTGAGGCAGGCACAACTATTATCTTCAATTTGCTGATGGAGAATTGAAGGCCCTGAGGTTTAAGTGACTCAGTCAAAGTACACAACCACTGAAGGAGCAGACTTGGGGTTTGGGCTTTTAATTTCTCAAAACCTCTATTACCTGTTTTACTTAAAAAAATATTGCTAAACAGAATGAGGAGCAAAAGAGAGAAACTCTTTGGCAATTCATAATCCTTTTGAAGGCTTGTCCAATGCCTTTGACTTGGCTGCACTGGACTAAGAACCAGAGGGGATTTACCACAAGGAGCCCACCAGAGCTCCCCATAGGGACGGAATGATTGCATGCTGTAAAAGACTGCAGCCACTTCTCAAGTTTTCTTTTTACACAATCAGCTTGGGAGGGATTTAGAGGTGTAGGCACAATGGGCTAATTTTTCTCTCTCTTGGGCTGGCAGCATGAGGTGTGACTATTGGTTCCACCCTAGCATACTTGCTGGCACAACAGACATCAGGCCTCTTGGAGCCAACAAAGAGATCCTGATGAGCTTGTTTGGTGGATGAGCCTGGGCGAGCAGAACAGACTTTGGGCTTAGAAAGCTCATGGGTAGGAAGTTAAATGAACTCCGTCAGCGTGCCAGGCTATGAAGGAGGCCTATGAAAGAGGTGTTTTACAAAATGGTACCCTATGACAACAGATTATTTTCCCTGCTCAGGGGAGTACTTAGACTTGGTATTATTCTGGTCTGGGTTCACCATACACTCATGTTTAATAACAATGCCTGTTCTGATTTCCTGCAAGGGCTATAACTCCTGTGTTTTGCAGAATGCCTCACACATGGCAGGGCACAATAAACAGCCAATAGTGATGTTTACTATGATAACGATCTCCTGATGCCTTTCATCTAAGGCTCCTAGAGGGCTCTGCAAACACTAATTAGTTAGGTGTCAAGGTGGCTCTAGGTTTTTATAATACATTTTCCCATTTTACAGAATTTTAAATTGAGCCCCAGCCAACGTAAGTGGCTTGTCCAAAGTCATACTGCGTGTTTAAATTGACAATAATGATGGTGCTTTGCATTTCCCTGGCAGATGTTTTCCATGGTGATACAGCATGTTGCAAAGATAATTTCAGTGTCTTAGAGAAGGGATGGGGGTAGCAAATAATACAAGCTGTTGGCTCAGTTGGATAAACTGAGGCAGAGAAGGCAAATAGCTCCAGGGGATTTGACTGATGTTCCAAGTCTACTCTCAGAGTGCGGCATCCATGCTATGCCTTAATTGGAAGGCATGATGGTTTCATACTTGCAGGAAAGCTAGTTATATTTTTACAAACAGAAACAAGTTGTAGAGTGTCATTATATTAACATCCAGGAATGGGTTTGTTCATACCCCCTTCAAGAGACAAGAGGCAAGAGATGAACACTTCAAAGGAAGAAATGAATGAATGGGGTGATAGTGGTGGTCTACCAGCTCCCGTCTGAAAAACCTGTTTAGTAACTCGGATTCTCTCTGGAAGCAAGAGCCCTCAAAGACTTGAGTCTGTGCTTCAGCTGGATGACAGGCCTAGGTCCGGGGTAGCTTGGTGAATAGGCATAGACCCATCACTGTGTCTGTCCATTGTCCCAGGTTTCAAGCCCCCACGAAGAGGTTCAAGGACACCCACTATCTTAATATCTTACTATTTTCTGCATTAAATCCCCCTTGTGGAGGAGGACTCTGTGAATCTTGGATGGTGCAAACCCCTGGCAACTGTGTATGCACTTTTCTTAGCAACATGGGGAAAGAAGAAAACCTGAACAGAAGTTTGCAAAGCTTATAGGGTCCCTGCCTTCCTCCAGGAAACATTTCCTTAGTGAATGATGACCGTCTTCTGAAAGGCAAGTCAGATTTTATAGAGAAGGGGAGAGAAGACCAAGTATTAGGAATTCAAGGGTTATTTGCCAACCCAGAGACAGATGTCTTTTCTCTTAACAAGGCAGGTTTGAATAAAGTTTGTTCTCCACCCTACTCTACCCTTGCAGGCCTGTGGATTCTGATTGATTGTGAGACTTACAGAGGAGTGAGTGCCCAGCCCTTTTCTGGAATGTGTTCACCTACAGAAGCACAACAGCAATAAAAAATCTTCAGTGATGAAACCACGCCAACTTCCCGCTCTCATTTTTGAATATTTACACACAGCCCTACCACATGGGTGGCTTAAAGGTGCAGTGATCTCCAAATGATTGAACTCTCAGAAGAAAACTACAGTGAACACTTGTGAATACACACCGAACCTCTTCTGTGTGAGGAGGGAGCCCAGTGCCAAATGCTCCCACCCATCACTACTTTTCAGAGTAGTCTTGGGACCCTGTTGCCAGCATTAAAGCATGCTTTAGGTGGGTCTTCAAAGAATGCATCTTTGGTTGCCTAAGTATGCCAGCAATCTAAGCCATAACTTTGGATCCATTTTGGTCCACGGAGTCTAGGGATGACATTGCAAATAATCCCTCTGGACTCATAGGGCTTCGTCCTCCTCCTGAGGTATGCTCTTGCACAGCAGCCCAGTTAAGTCCTCGGCGTGTGCTCTCAGGGGTAGACAGAGGAACATGGGAAACTTTTACTCAGTAATCTGTACAGTTTGACTAGGTTTGTACTGTAGCCCTTGCCCAGCATGCATTTTGTGTGTTCTCTGAGTTTTGTAGAGATACATCATAGTGTTCCTATACACATCTATTCTATTATATATTCTAGCTTTCATCATCAATCAGTACACTCACATAGACACTTCCCTGTTTTGTGATTTTGGGCATCAAGTATCTAGATAGCTTTGAACAGATTAGGAGTGATCTGTAACGACACTTTATGACAAGGGATGGGAAGACAGATTTAGGTAGAATTCAAACAACACCTGATACATGGAAACTTCTCCAAAAATCTCAAAAGCAACCTGAAGTTGAATTTATTTTCTATATTCCTCATACTCTGGGCATTTCTCATACACTGGTCTGGCCCCCTAGCAGCAGAAGTAAAAGACCATAAAAGATTTTTCACAAGTACTTTCCTCATTTGACAACCTCAGGACAGGAACCAAAGAGACTCTAGTAAGCATTAGAAGTTCTGAGGCGAATTGTCAGGTAGATTAGATAGGCTCAGAGTTCCCATTGGGGCTCAGTAAAGTGATCACAGCTCACCCAACTGGGGAATCATCTCCAGCACTCTGGTGAAGTCTGTCCACGTGAAGAAAGTCTGTTCCCTAGCTCTCGGCATACACACGACCAGCCTCAAAATGCACATGTTATGAGCAAGCAAGTTTTTTCTTACCCCATCCATGTGGATCCTAACACTGGGCACCAGCCGGAAAGGGCTGGCCTGTAGACTTCTGGGGCTGGTCTTGCTTTTCCTGCTGTCCTGCAAGGTCAGTATGCGAGGCCTGCGAAAGGAGCCCCGTTTCCAGGAGTTCTGCCCGGAGCGCACACCATCCAGCAGACGCACCAGCAACAGGTTGGCTGGCAGAGCCTCGATGCTGCAGAATACCAGGGTCCTGCATTCCGGGCACCGCAGCTCCTTGTGGGCCTTGAAAATCCTCTGTAGACATGGTTTGCAGAAGGTGTGCTGGCAGGGGAGGACTTTGGCTGTGACATCGAGCTTTTCAAAGCACACGGGGCACTCCAAGAGATCAAGTAACGTCAAATCATCCATTTTATTTTAAAACTCCAGTCCCGACCTGGAGAAGCAGGATTCACATTGTAGCGGCAGCCGAGTCGAGGGGGTAGAGCCAGTCTTTCGGGAGCATCAGAATTCCCTGCCTGTTTGAAGGAAGGAGGAAAAAAAATGTAACTGCCCTGAGAGGTGTGTCCCACCTACATGGAGGCTGTGTCTTGAGAGGCAGCTGCAAGCACTTTGTTCCGGGAGAGCTTCAAGTGACTCATTCTGATTCAGTCTTGCAGGTTAGAAGACTTGTGCCTGCTGCAAGAATCTGAGGGAACTCTGCACAGTGACTGAGTGCTCATTGCCTCTGAGCGGAGGACCCCAGCAAGGAGAGAAAACTAGCCTGCTCAGGCTGGGAGCTGCTTCTCTGCTGGAAGGACTGGAGGAGTGCTTTCTCCTGCCTGGTTCACAGTCAGTCTTAACTCAGACTAAGGCCCTGACAACACAATTTCTGTGAGGTTATCTACCTACCTTCCCTTCCTCTCCACTAGATTGGCTTGTTTTCTATCTGTAGCAGAGTAGATGAGCTTAGGGAAGTGTTTATCGACTCCATGCAGATGTAGACTTCTTTCCCTCCAGTAGATCTCCCTCCACTATTTTGTTCTAGCAATATACAAGAAAAATTCCTATTCCCCGATATTGTTTTGACTTTACCCTGTCACGTCCCTCTTCCTTCTTCCATCTCCTCCCCTCTTCCTTCCATGCCTTCATCTGCCCCAGGTTAGTGTAGTGCCAGAGATAGTCTTCCTCCTACCAGGTGAGGTCCTGTGGCCTGTTTAGTTGCTTTGACAATTGTGCTGGCTGGCTTTCAGCTGCAGCAGAAAGGAATTCAGGCTTGTGGTCACAGCCTACAGAAAAAAGCCCAGAGGAAGCAGCATGCACGGGCAGGGAGGGAGGTGTGTGTGTGTGTGTGTGTGTGTGTGTGTGTGTGTGTG